TTTTTTTGAGACGGAGTTTTGCTCTTGTTACCCAGGCTGGAGTGCAATGGCGCGATCTCGGCTCACCGCAACCTCCGCCTCCTCGGTTCAGGCAATTCTCCTGTCTCAGCCTCCTGAGTCGCTGGGATTACAGGCATGCGCCACCACGCCCAGCCAATCCTTTGTATTTTTAGTAGAGACGGGGTTTCACCATGTTGACCAGGATGGTCTCGATCTCCTGACCTCGCGATCCACCCGCCTCGGCCTCCCACAGTGCTGGGATTACAGGCTTGAGCCACCGCGCCCGGCCGGTAGGAGAATTTTTTTAAAGACATGATCATTTCATTAAAGAGGAGAACTTTTTTTCACATCCAGAAACTAGAAAAGACAATATTAACTATCCTTTACTGAACATATGTGGCTTTATTTAAAACAAAAAGTAACTCACTCTGGTGTCTTTGTTTTTCTTACATCAGCTACCAGACAGGCCTTTGGCAGCAGAGCTCTGGAGCTTTCAACAGGGCAATGTCCAAAAGATCATCTACCAGAGATAATTTGGAGGATGGCACTTACCTCCGGTGAAATCCATCTTTTTTTGCCAGGGACCTCTTCAAGTTTAAGAATTATTTTGCAGGCTGGGCATGGTGGCTCATGCTTGTAATCTCAGCACTTTGAGAGGCTGGGGCAGGTGGATTGATTCAGCTCAGGAATTCAAGACCAGCCTAGAAACATGGTGAAACTCCGTCCCTACTCAAAAAATACAAAAAATTAGCTGGGTGTGGTGGTGCACACCTGTGGTCTCAGCTAGTCGGGAGGCTGAGGTGGGAGGTTCACTTGACCCTGAGAGGGGAAGGTTGTAATGAGCCTAGATCGCAACACTGTACTCCAACCTGGGTGACAGAGTAAGACTCCATCTCAAAAAAAAAAAATTATTTTGTGGTATTTGTGAATAGCTATATAGCTTTTATGACTAGTGACGAGCCCAACTTAGCAAGCACCTCAGGAGTACTCAAAGGTGCTTGTTGAACTGCTTTGGGGACAAGGCAGGCAACTGCTAGTAGCTACGAAGTCCAGTGGCTATGACATCATCTATGTTTAACTTTTACATTTCATTAAATATTTGAATGCATGTACTTTTTCTGATGTTTTGCATCAGAAAAAGTACATGCATTCAAATATTTAATGAAATGCTTCCTCATAAATTGTATATATTTCCTGTCTACACACACCATATATTTCTACCTTTTTATCTATATACATATTACGTATATGCCCATATATAGATATATACACTGACATTCCTCCAGTTATTCTTGAAAGATTTCTTATCCAGAGAGAGAAGAGAATGGTATAGGCATAGTTTTCTGTAACTGGTATTTTCCTCTGGCTTGCCATGGTCCTTTTTTTCTTTTCTTTTTTTTTTTTTT